CTTTAAAAATAGTCGTATTTTTTGTTGTAGTTCTTTGTGTTTCCCTCCCCCTTCCTTGGGTTTGTGCGCCACCCTGAGTCCCGCCGGGAATAGGGCGGCATATAAATAAAATGAACCTTGAACTTTGAACCTTTTCAAATTGAGTAATCTACTTTCATGCTTTGGGCCTGCTGCAAAATCTTAAGACCACATCTGAAATATTATAACCTCCCCAAACAACCTACTCTCCCTCTACCTTATTTGCTTTCTTGCAGATCTCCACAGCAATGTCAGCAGCTGAATTTCCCATTCCAATGATCACAACAGTCTTCCCTTCAAATCCTTCTGAATCCTTGTAATTTTGGCTGTGGAATGAATTTCCCTTGAATTTTTCAAAACCTGCCATGAAGCAAACCACAACGATAGTACAATAATTTTAGGCTGCAAAAAAATTGGTTTTGATGTACCAGATTCTGATCCCTTCTCCTCCGTGTAGAATTTCAATTCCTTCCCTCTTTAAAGAAATCAAAATATGAGCTTGCTATAATATAAAAACAAAGAGTACTACATGATTTGCTTTCACCATTTTGTTTGCACAAGGGGACATAAAGGATACATTGCAAAATTTCTAACTTTTTGTAACATTTTGTTTGGACTGAGGACAAAAAGTTACGTCAAGAATGACAGGGATAAACATAGATAGCATGAGTGAGAAAAAAATCTTTTTAAATCATGGAATTGCAAGCAAGAATATAAAGAAAAGTGATTTTTGCCTCATTTTTTTCTTGACAAATGCTGCATCTATACAACAAAACATAGAGACAGAAAACTGAAAGCATAAAAAGTCCTAGTGTTTTATTTCTTTGTTTTTTTTAAAATTGTTGTTGTTGTTAAATTTGTGTCAAATGATGTATATGTATTTATCCCAGGCATGTTTAAACTCGGTTACTGATGACTGACTCACTATCTCTGCTGGAAATTGATTCCAAGCTTCCACTTCTCTTTCTATGAAGCAATACTTTCAACCATTACTTTTCAACTTCCCTCCTGTCAGTTTGAAGTTATGCTCCTATGTTCTTGAACAATAAACAATAATCGCAGCAATTCCTCTTGTCAACAATACCCAAAAAAATAGAAACCCAATATCCGTCTTCCCCTCTCCGTACACCTCTTTCTTCCACCCCCCCAACTTTCTATCTTCCCTCCATCATCCCCCTCTACCCTACTTCCCCTCCCCCTCTACCACTCCTCTCTCCCGATCCACTCTCTCCCTTCCTTCTCACCCTCCCTTCCATCCTCTTTCCCGTCCCTCTCTACCCGTCCTTCTTCTATCCCACTCCTCCTCCCCTTGGTGTATTTCCACTATATTAGATAGGACATACTTTTC